TTTCTCTTAACAATAATCTTTTAAGTAGGTTACGTATTTCTTTCTTTTCTAGATGAATTTTATTGCTAACTACATTTTTACCAGCTACTAGAAAATGTTGAAAAACATCTGAAATTCACGTACATGAAGTAACTAATGAAATAGACTAGGTTTAAATAGTGTATCAAGATGAAATCTACGCCAGATTTTAAGTTAGGCCTGCAAGGATACAACTGTGAATATTGCATCCAATTTGATGTAGTAGTTTTTGCGTGACGTCAAACATAAAGAAAGACAGACAGACAAAATTTGTAAATATGTTTGTTTCCTTAATATCGTCCGTACACATACAATATTTACTTTATTATACATTTTTTTATTTAAGAATTATTTTGATAGATATCAAGTATACACGTACATCTTATTAAAATATTATTAAGCTAGTGACTTTTTTCGCCCAAATTTTGGATCAACCCAGCATATGATATACTACAGAAAAATCTAAAGAACTCTTTTCTCTGATAATAATAATAATAATTTTAAAGTAAAATTATATGTACGTACAGTCTTACAAGCAAAAAATTTTAAACTATTTGACCTTTTTCTATGTTTAACGCGCGCAAATTTTCGTATGACCTTTCTCAACTCTCGCGATCCCTCGTCTTATCCTGTCTGAGATAACTTCGTTCTAGCTCACATATAGTTATTAAACTTTCTTAATTGTCCCCACACTGCATACAAGGTGTACGTGACCCGATATACAGTTAATATGGCTATACACACAGTAGCTTGCTTTAATTAAAACGGGGAAAGAGCCAAACATTAATTGGGTGTCTTTTTGTCCTTCGTTAAAGCTTTGTCTATTGTTAAAAAGTATTTATGCCATAAAATATATTTAATTAAACCCGTTTCATTTAAAAATAAAATACAAAACTAAAGCTAATATACTCTTTTAATTACTTGCTATATCCTGTGGCTTGGCCTGCGTAAATATTAACAAAAATTATTTATCTGCATTGAATTTTGTTTTACCTATTATTTAGATATTATTCAATAATACATACTTATATAAATATTTTTACATTTTTTTTTATATTTATAGAATACACGCAAAAGGGTTAAAAGGTACAAAAATAGTAAATAAGGCAGATAAGAAGAAGATCTTTATATTATTTTTCAACAAAATGTAGTCTGTCTGTTTTTAAGTATATCTATTACTAAAAAAAAAAAAACTTTTCTCTTATAACATTAGTTTACTTAAATAGACTTAGATATTAGCTCTTTATGTTGCAAATATAATATAATCTGCAATAAGTCCTTAACGAATTCAGGCAAAGGGCCATTTACTTTGATTAATCGCCACTTTATTAATACGTCGTGTTATCTAAAAGGTACGTTTATTAAATCCGATCTTATAATCGATCCCTGTGAATTCCCGCATACTCGTAAATGGCTTTTTGTTTGTAGTTACCGAATTTTGTGTTGGATTTATAACTTCTAGCTTTTGGGTCTCCTGAACTCACCAGATGGAGCCATCATTTATTATATACCATCTTACTTAAATGTACGTAATGCAGTGAGATCTCTGTAATGGATAAAGATGGAATGTTGCACCCATTTATGCTAATGGTATAAAATTGCGGAGCACCAGTTGAAAATGAAATGTTGAGGATGAAGTCGGACTAATTTCTCTTGAATTCACTGGGATAGGTGAATTTAATAGGAATGATATGGCCAATTGCGATGCATTTCAGAGTGGTGATATATTTCAACTTGATAGATATTAGGAAAGTAAAAGTAAAAATAAGTTACTTCACTTACTGTTCACTTTTTTTTAGTATGCGAAATTTGCCATTAAAATAGTTAATAATTATTATATAATATAAAATATTTAATAGTTTAGTAATAACGGAATTATTCTCGCAGATAGATCACTGTTCTCATTTTGTCATAATACCATAATATTAGACTAAGGAAACTTAATGGTCAAGAGGTGGGTAGTAACGTCCCCTTTAAAAGATCACTAAGGCCTAACTGTGGTTGCCACCCGCTTACTAAGCGTGACAACTACTGGTAAAACCACCCCAATAGCCTATGTTCAGCAGTGAATTTCAGCAGCAGTTCAGCTAAGAAAAAAGGAACTGATATTCTGTATATATATATATATATATATATATATATATATATATATATATATATATATATATATATATATATATATATATATATATATATATATATATATATATATATATATAATTCTGAAATTCAATTTTCGTTTTTTTAATGGAATAATATATTTAATATAATAATCAGAGGAAGTTGGTTACAATTTAGTCAAGCGGCCATACATAAAGATATTTCTTTTTTTTTATACACCACAATTTTTGGTTGTTTTTTTATTTTATTTTATTTATTGATAGAAAACACGTCAAAAATACTGTGCCTATACCTAACATAACATCGTATATTATATAGTATACTCTGTTATGTTCATTATATTGTTGATGCTTATAGATAGGTAAAGTGGTAACTGTGACCAATTTTTATAAAGTGGGCAGTATGCTTGTTTGATATTCAAAGTTGTATAAAAAAACTATCAGATGTTTACTACTTATTGTTACTCATTGTTCATTCTCATTTCATTTAATATTAATAGTGCTTAATACCTTTTGCCTTTCCAATGTGAATTTGCTCGATTTTGTGGTGTGGATGGAGAAGTTCAGAGGTTATTTTTATCCAAGTCACGTGGAAGTAGTCGCGTTTACTGTTAGTATATAAAAAAAAGAGAATACGACAAGAACTTACTAAGTAGCAAACTTAACAATGATCATTTTATAATTACTTAGAATGTATATTATATATTTACCTATAATAATCGTCAAAGTTCAGAAGAAAGTTTGACTATTTTTATTTATGTCACGTAGAAGAAGTCGCGTTTACTGTTAGTAAATAAAAAAAAGAGAATACGACAAGAACTTACTAAGTAGCAAACTTAACAATTATCATTTTATAATTACTTAGAATGTATACTATATATTTACCTATAATAATCGTCTAAGTTCAGAAGAAAGTTGGACTTATTAAATTGAAAGTGAAATTCTTCACTTCGTTAAAACTTTTAATGATTATAATTAGAATATAATTATTGTGTGCTTTGGTAACAGTCAGATTATTAAGGAAATCATTAATAGTTAAATAATTAGTTGTAAAAGTATTAAGATAAATCGTCATAGTCGTAGAATACTGACGGATCTGACGAATATTACATATAAAGATCCGTCAGTATTCTACGACTATGACGAAATGTTCATCACAATTTGTGCCAGAGGGAGACTTTGTACAAAAGTCGTTTGTTTGGGCACCTCTATCCCATTCGTGTTTCTACCGTGAAGCAGCTATGTTTACATGGCTGTATTTCGGTTTGAAGAGTGGGATATGGCAGTGAATTTACAGGGTACAGAGGAATAACACCTGAGTCCTCAGGAATGGCAATGCATGGGGGGTATCATGGGAGAAAAAGGATACTCTGTTATGTCCATGGTACTGCTCATGTCTATAGGCGACGGTTACCATTTTCCAACAGGTGGACCGTCAGCTTGTTTGCAATTTTAAGTTGCATAAAAAATATGGTTATCGTAATTAAAGAGAATAAAAGATTACGTCTGCAGTGTAATTTACCCATGTTTATTATTAAAATTCATGAATCTATATAAAAAAAACATTTTGAAACTTCCCATTGAAAAAGAGGCGACTCATATTGGGGCTCGAATCGCACTTGGTGTGAAATGCCCCATATTGCCTAAATTATCATATATTACGAGTAATAAATAGTTGCCTTTGGAAATCAGTCATGAGGAAAAGTGAAGTTTCAATTTCTGAGAAAATACAAATGGCCATATATATAGTATTAGCCAATAAATAGTATTACAGATAAAATCCTTTATAATGTACTTCAATCTAATTTATAACAGAGATTTCATTGTATTTGCTCTTGTAATTGGTGCAAGTGCCGCCGCTTTATGTCCACTGACGTTACACAACGGTTTAAAGTATATTAAAGTGTTCATTGAGCCTAATGAATGCGATAACGATCTTCCTTTATTAATCTATGCGGATAATTTGAGTCGCCTTGAAACTAATTAAGACTTGTAATGTTTGCTTGTGAACGGCCCTACTTGTAGTAGTACAGTTATAATCTAGGTATCTTGTTATCTACAGTTTATTTGATAATTTCATTATTATTTGTTTATTTATTATCATTAATTGCTTAGACCTTTTTTGAGGTAGACTTGATTCTATTATAAATAAAATAGGATAGGATATAAAAGTATATCTTATCCCATTTATACTTTAAAAAATGTTTCTATACATGCCATGGATTTCGGATACGCTTAATTTGATCCTTGTAATTTTAATATAGTATATTTATATTTTAATACAGGTTTTGCTCCCTCATAAATCTGAATATAATATTTATACAAAATTAATTCTCTTAAGAACTATAATTTCTTTTATTTTTTTAGTTATTACCTACTAATATTATCATACAATAAAGATGCAATCTATAGATATAGATTTAACTGCTTGAAATATGATGAAATATGAAAAGCTAATCGGGTATTTTTTTATTCTTTTGAATAGTGTAAAGGCAGTAAAACTGCTATTTACTGTCATTCAAGATCTTCAGCTCATAAGGGCCGGTAATTCAAGACGTACCTCTGGTACTGTAATATTAGAGACATCTGTAAGCTGCGATGATCATACACTACCAGGCAAAAATTATGCTTCATATACACAGTTATCGTTGAAAATTATGTCACAAATTCACAAAAATCATAAATTAAGTTATTGTCAGTCTACCACAGCTATTTTTATTTCGTCAAATGAAACATGGTACGTAAAAGAATAAAAATACAGTTATATATATGTATATCCAAAAAACATCAGCATTCTTCTTTCTTTGACAGTTATGTAACATTATTTCTCATAAATTACATAATAAATTCTTTTGTTCACAGGGTCGTAAAGCCACGTACTAAAAGCTGATTGTGCACGTAAGTACACAAATAAATGTTAAATTGATCATCTTGTTTGCTCATACTTTGGTTCCGACTAACTCTCGGTTTAGTAATGTATTGAATACGAGATGCGATTTTATTAATTTATTAATTTGATCACAGTAAACGATTTTTACCGGAGATTTTATATAAAAGACGTAGATACATTTAGGAAGAAAAATTTTGTGTTGACCTCGTACGGGCAAACGCAGTGTAGGACGACCCCTCCCTTTAGACGGAGTGATGACCTCAAATCCACTGCAGGGAGTCAGTGGATGCAGGTGGTTCAACACCGTTCCTTATGGCAGTGTATAGGGGAGGCTTATATTCAGCAGTGGCTAAGATGATAGGTACACACTTGTGTTTTGTTGTGAAGTAGCGCTGCTTATACAGTTATTTCTGTTTAAAAGTTAGAATCATCAACATCATCATTTAACGTTAACTTTCCACTGCTGAACATAGGCCTCCCTCATAGACTATCTTGGTGTTTATAATTAGGGCTGGTAGGTTACAAAAGGTTTGGGTATGACAGTGAATTTACAGGGTATGGAGGTTTATCACCATAGTTCTGAGGAATAACAATGCATGACAAGTACGATGGATATCATAGTATATAATTTGTGATGTTCATGTATATAGGCTACTGATTTTTTTTATAAAGATGATAATGGTATGGCACCTCCGCATTAACAGTAAACACTGGCGGGCCAGGAGTGAGGGTTGACAGGTGAGAATGAAGAAACAGATTAATTAGCCCGTCGTAATGAAAAGAGTGAACGAGAAAAGAACATTAATTAAAATAATAGAGAATAGAAGAGGCAAAATGCTGGGCCACCTTATACGACATGACGATTTTTTAAGAGCATAGTAGAGGGAAAAATAGAGGGCAAAAGAGGAAGAGGAAGACCGAGGAATAACTACATGGGACAGATAAAAGAAACACTAGGTGTCATGTCGTATAGGGAGGTCAAGGATATGGCCTGGGATAGAACTGGCTGGAAGAAGATGCATGAATTAGTTGCACAGACGAGAGGAAACTCTTAAATGGAAAGAGAGATGAATACACCTGGGATTTAGCACGATGGTCTCCAGGAGGGACCATGTGGAGGTCAACCTGATAGAGTATATTGCTAGTAATGGGACTGGCAGTCCGTATTACTAACAATCCGTTATCTCCCTATAGGCTAATGTTACCACTTTCCATTACGTGAGCACTCAACTTGTTTGTCATTCTAAGAATTATACAAATAATTGACGTACAAATAAAACGGTATCAACGCGGGAGTCGACCTTATTGTTACCAAGAATAATCAAAATCAATTCGGAATTTCCGATGATATCGCTCGTATACATATGTTTATGCGGACTCTGTATAAATTTCCATATGCTACTCTTTTTTTCTTATTTTATATAGTGAGTTCTAAGAAACAGAAATAACACGACTATTTTTATTTCGACTTTGTATAAATTCCTATCAGTTATTAGGCTAAATTTATTTATATTTTTTTTTGTGTTCTTTATGCAAACTTCTAAGAAACAGATACTGTGTACAATATGAAGAGCCTTTATAACGCCCGTTCAGTAGATAGCGTGAAAGAAGAAGAAGGAAACTCCATTGAGATTTCCACCACTTTACCGAGATTAAAATTGTACGATTGCTCCATTTTATTCAGATAAGCGGTTTGCATGCGGATACGACGGGGCGGATCCGTTCTTTATAAAAGTTAAATCAACCAGTGTTTAATTCTTATGAAATCTATTCAATTGCCGCGTGGTCCCGCTATAGAATGGGACACCCCTTTATTTCCCATGGGTTTCGTTAAAGGGAACTTAATAGTTGAGGGATGAGCAGCAGCGTCCCTCTTAAAACATCACTGAAAACCTAACTGCGGTTGCCAACCTACCTACCAAGCGTGGCAACTACTGGCAAAACCCCCCAAATAGGGGGAGGCTTATGTTCAATAGTGGATATTTAATGGCTGAAATGATGATGATGATGATAATGACTTCAATTCAATTGAAATTATATTCAGCTATTTAATGTTTATATTGTATCCACTGACATAAATTTAAATAGATGTCGCAATTTTATGTAGTTTCTTTCTTCCTGCAAAAGAAAAAATACACACCAGAAAATATACAGATTCTGTACTTATTAGTGGAGATTTTAATATTTTAAACTTTAAATACTACTTTTAAAGTCAGAAGTATATTAAACCAACGTTTTCTTCGTTAAAATGCAAAATAATAATTCACGTCATTATTCTTAACTTCAAACTTTAAATAATAACGATATAAGATTTTGTCTTTATGCAACTTAAACATAGAAGTATGAGTGAGCTTTAGTGAAATGAAAAATATATTTCGTATATTTTTCTACAAGTTTATTTAACTAAAGTTCAGACAGTGATGTATTATATATGTATACATTTTTGATAGATATGTAGATGTGTTTCATCTATCATAGATGTTAAATTAGAAAAATTGGAAGTAAATAAGAATATTTCATTGTATTAGTTTTGTATACTGGGCATTAAAACTATTCCTGTGAGTGTAGCCTCATGAAATAATTAGCAGTAATGTAATAAGACTTTAGTAATGATAAGAATACTAGTACCAGAGGGAGACTTTGTACAAAAGTCAATTGCTTGGGTACCTCTGTCCCATTCGTCATTAAGGGTGGAATATGGCGTGAATTTACTGAGTACAGAGGAATAACACCTGAGTCCTCAGGAATGGAAACGCATGGGGGGTATCATGGGCGAAACAGTATACTCTGTTATGTCTGCGGTACTGCTCATGTCTATAGGCGACGGTTACCACTTTCTATCAGGTAGGCCGTCAGCTTGTTTGCCATTATAAGTTGTCAAAAAAATAAAATAAAAAAGTTTACCTATTCCTTAGCGCCTTAAAAAGTTAAAAAATAATATATTATTATTATTAGTCTCCTTCTAACTGAAAAGAGTCTCTACATGATATGCGTTAGTCAACTTGTAATATCTATGTACAGATGTAAATCTGTAAGATTGTAGATATTTTTAATAATTACAAATATATATAATGCATTTTAACTTCAACATAATAGTCGAGGGTTTTAAGAGCGACACTGCTGTCCAAGCAGTGTCGCTCTTAAAACATCAAAGCCCAACTGCGATTGCTAACCCGTCTGCATAGCATGCCAACTATTGGCAAAATCCCCCAAGGGGGGATGGGAGGCTTATGTACGGCACTGGACGGTTAACGGCTGATGTAATGATCATGCATTTAGGGCCTCTAGCCATATTCGTTTCCGTTCTCGCAACATGAAATCTCATCTGCCTATTAATTTAACAATTCAATATCGTATTCAGTATTTGCGTAAGCATCGCTATAGCGCTTTGTAACATTATAATTTGTCTCACTGGTACTTCACTAAGGCCGTCTGGGCTATTCATAAGTCCTTTGAGTATATACTCTTGCTTTGGGAGTAGGATGCACGAGTGGTAAATAAATGTGTGTATAACACGTGCAATAAATTATTAAATTTAATAAATTTCCTAACTTTATATGAAGTTACGATTTCAATTACCTCTTTAATTTCACTATATTTGTAGTCAATGTAGGTCCCTAACATGGCTTAGTGGTCAGAGGCTTCACATGCCCTCTGAAGCACGCAGTAAATGACAATTATTTACAATTAAAAAAAAATGGAGGAGGTCTTCAAGTCGGTTGTATTTTCTTTATTTTTCGTTTTTCTTTATTACTCCGTCCTTTATATTTATAAAGGACGGAGTTCTAAGATAATTTGAAAATTTTTTTTTCAACTGAATGAATATAGATACTTTTAGATTGATTCCATAGAAATGTTATCAAAATCTATTCAGCAGTTTAGTTTTAAAATTAAAATAAGAGTAATTGGAATTTTTAAATCCCAATATGAATTAGTAAAATTCAGAGATTTAGGCTGGGATTCGATCTTTGGATATTAATCATGTTTCGATAATAGATATATGATGATCATAATATATTATAGATTTCTTGAAAACAATTTTTATATTGGTCCTTTATTTTATTATAGGACTAAAGATGAAAACCTATTTGTCTGATGCCGCAATAAAATAAATTGATCAGAAGCTATTCATAATAGTAATAAAGATAAAGATGGTAGATAAATGGACAGTTATCAAGTAAGTACGTATTACCTATATGGAAGGAATAGTTATTTTACGTTTTTGTTTATTAGAATAGTTTTGATCCAAACGGTATTTTTGTGTAACGTAAAAAAGAGAAAATTGTTCGAGTATATTTTTGTGTGTCTGATACACTTAATGATTATCATCATATGAGCCGTTTTCTGTTCATTGCTGAATATAGGCTTGATACAAAGTAATACACATTACCTTTGTCAAATATTTATAGACATTCAAACGACTACCGAAAGAACGTGATTCCTAATTTTTCTGTATTTTTTTCTGCATTTCTTTTTCTGATTTTTTTCTGTATTTATTTGTAATTCGAAATGTTCACCAATTTTTAATATTTCTTTTTATTATCGATAGTTTGTTAAATATTAATTTTATATATTAATTGAAGCAACTATTTATTTTAGAGCCTGCAATGTCTAACCATCTCAAATCTCATATCAAATAGTGGCAAATTATCTTTTTCTTCGCCTTAAATTACAATTTTTTTTTATTATTCCCTTGTACTGACGGTTCCTGCACACAATACTGACCAGATAGATTGACCAGATTGTAAAAATATTTTCCTATTACGAACCATGCTTCTTTGAGAGGATTCAGTTTCTTGAATGGTATCGTTGGATTTTGGTTTGTCATGAATTTACACAGAATGTTCTTTTGAATTTTCGAACCTTTTATACAGGGTGAAATTGAAATTGTAAGCATCTTTTGAAGGGAATGTTCAGCCAACTGAACGGCATATTTTAACCAAAGAAACATGAATCAAAATACGACAATTTTGAGCTTCCAATATGTTGTATTTAGTTTAGTTTAGTT